TTTAAATTAGGGTGACCCAAGAAGATGTTCTCCCACAGTTCCTTGCACCTTTATGTTAATGATCAAAGTTATGTCATCCCTTTTCCCCTCCCCAGTTTTAGAAGGTTCCTCGCTCCTGCTTTCCTCCTTCCCTACAGCTCCTCCCTTGGATCCCAGCTGGTTGTTGCCCTTTAGTCCTGCCTTTTAACTGCCCCTATTCCCTTTACCCATTGGCCCTCCAACCTGATGCTCAGCCTCCCTTGTCTCATACATAACCCCAGAATTTCCTTTGTTCTTGGTTCTTTGTCCCTGGTTTCCTTCAGTGTGTGTTAATAAACACCACTGGAATACCATATGTAGAACCCCTCAAGCTTGTAGTTTCTCAGTTGACCTTTGAATAGCATCATGTGACGTGAGCATCTGGTGCGTGCTGAGCTATCCCTTCCTCAGAGGGACGCTCTCTGGAAGGCGGTGGTTTCAGCAGCTCCTGCCGTGCCACTGCAGCTGGCACCCAAAGAGAGACCTTTTTCAAGTCGCCCTGAGAGCGTGTCCAGTGGACTCTTGTCCCTGGACACAAGTCACCTTGGAACTCCAGCTCCCAGAAGGGCTCACCTCAATTTTCTGAGGTGCTCTCCAAAGGGCCAGCCAACAACCTTCCATGATGCAGTTTGTGGATTCGCTGCAGAGGATTGGCCGGTGTCACCAAACCCCCATGAGACCTTTTCTTTTGACTTGTTGGCTTGGTGAGTGTTACGGGCACTAGGGGAGGGTGCCTACACAAGTAATTTTCAGTTTTTCATTTTCCTTTGTTTTGTGGGTGGAAAATTTTAGTTTAACCACAATGATAACTAAATTATTTATTGGGTAGCGGGAGGTTTATGCCCAAGCTAAGGGGACCCTTGTAGCGGGAAATACTAAGTTTTCTAAGGGGGATTTAAAGTCTTTAATTAACTTTTTATTTAAACTCTTTATTTAAACTAGTCTGGGGATTACCCAGGAAGATATTGTTTCAATTATGTTTTGGGACAAGGTGGAGAAACGTTTATACGTTGAACGGGTTAAAGGGGATTTTAAGGCAAGGAAATATTATCCTTTGTGTGTTGCAGTTTGTGTTTATTTTAGTAAGTTCTATTAAGTTGATTGTTGAAGTGGTATGTTCTGTTATCCCCCATGTTCTCCTTAAGTTGATATTCTGGTTTGAAAACAAAAACAGTGAGAGACTCCAAGTCAGAAATACAATTTACTGGGAAAAGGGAAAAGAGACAAAATACATGCAATGATACAAAAGGAAGACCACCGACAAAGTCAGAATACAACCTGACACCCCTTTGGCCAGCATGTTGGTACCAATCCAAACTGGAGTAGCTGCAGTCCTCTTGGAGTGGCAGATGTGGTTTCTGTTTGTGCAGTGATCCTGTAAAAGAAGGGTAGTTGGTCCAGTGGAAAAACCCCAGCTGTGTCCTCTTGGAAACCTGTGGGAAGGCTGTTTCTCAGTCTAGAAATCCCAGGATATATCTAGGTGGGAATGCTTAGCTCCTCCCCCCTGGATGAAGCATCTCACAATGGACTGATGTCATTTTGACTCACGAGGTGTGTCTTTGATCACAGAACTGGCTCCTGGAGAGTGTTATCTCTGAGTCATGTGGCAAGACATTGAGAGGCCGATTAAGAGGAGATAAGGAAAACTGCCCAAAGTGCAACTGCTACACAGATGGTACTAGAAAACATCTCATCTTTCAATCTTGGACAGTTGGTTTCTCCCTAAGTTGTATCCTTCTACCCAGCTGTCCCTCAAAGACTCTCCTCCCTCTTTTCCAGACCTTTCCCCTTCTGTCAAGGCAACCTGGCCCCTGGCCCCTTTGCCCTGTAAACCTAAATCCTACCCATTGTTCTAGAAAGTTCCCTGTCCGTCACCTCCAGGACCTATTCCAGATTGAACCCTCTCTCCTTCCTTTACCCTGATTTGTGACACCCCTGAAAAACACACCCTAAGAGTTACTCATTGGTTATCTCATTGTGTCCACTCCCTGTTTTTGTGAAGTTTTAAAAACCCTTGCACATCTGTGCTCAGGGCTCTGCTTGCCTGTGTTCCCTCCAGCTGTCCTCTTTCATGTACCCTTCCTTCACCTTACCCAATAAACCTGCTGGACACCACTAGAGAGCCTCTGTTGACTTCTTTACTTGATCCCTGCCACACTGCTGTGGAGTCCTGAGTGCAAGGCACATGTCTCTAAGGTTCTGGCTCTGGCAATACACTGGCCAAGTCAGTTCCCCACACTTGCTGTTGCCTCTGGAACAATAGAGCAAGCCTGGGCTTTGGCAGGCAGTAGCATTTGTTTAATTAAATTTATAAGTTGATCAAGGAAAAAAGGGGAAAGTTTGGGAACAAGTTTACCCCAGTTGTCAACTTCCTCCCTCCCCAGTCCTAGTCTCTCTTCCCCTAAGAGTGGGTCAGGAGATGGGACCTGCTCTCTGGCACAGGAGCGTCATCTGCCTCCTGCCACCTCCTACCCCTCTCTGTCCCTTTCTCAAGTTGGCACTGCCCATGCCAGCTTGAGCCCTAGCCTCGCTTACTGCCCACCTGCACCCCCTTATCCCAGTTTTTTTCCCTTCTCTGTATTCTATGGGCCAAGATGGTGCCGCCCTTGGGAGAGGTCCTGGTCAGCTGGAAGGCTGACCAGGTCAATCCTTTCTCATCCTCTTCTGAGGAGGAGGACAGTGCCGATGACTCCCCAGGCCCTACCACCAGCCTGGGAGAGGTTGGGCATGAGTCTGGAGAGAGGCTATCAGGGTTGGTAATCTGGAGATGGCTGAGAAGCTACTGAGAAGCTCATGGCTCCAGTTTTCTCTGGAGATGAAGGAAACCCAAATGGGAGCAAGTGCCATATTCTGAACTAAACTGCAAAACAATCAAAAATTATGGCAGGAAGTCACCCTACTTTAAAAATGTTCTTGAAGTGACTCTTCCGGGCCATATCCTCATCCCACATGATATCAAAGATATGAAAGATATCATGTCAGTCTTGTTGTCCGCCATTGAAATACTGTTATGGGAGTCTTTGTGGAAGAAGCAGTTAAGCCTTTACTATCCAAACACAAGACCAAGGATGAGAAAGCCTCATTGATGTTGGAGGAATTATGTGGAGAATGTGATTTTGATAAGCCCAAAGACCAGGCCAAGGATCTCACTATACTTGTTCTGGAGGACATTAAAGCTGCTGCTTGCACTGCTCTGCTCCAAACACCTGATGGCTCCCTATCCCAACAAAACATTTCTGACATCTGCCAAGGCACTGAAAAAAACTTTTATTAAGTTTATCGACAGGCTTAAGGATGCACTGGAGAAGCAGATTGACAACCCTCAGACCAGGAAGGAGTTGCTCAAGAAGTTGGCAGTGGTGAACACCAACACCGAGTTTGAGAAGGTTATTAGAGCACTCCCCCTGGAACCTGAGCTCACCATCTCACAGATGGTGGAGGCATGTATGAAGCTCAGCTCCATCAAGCACATAGTCACCCTGTCCATGAATAGGGGTATGTGGGAAGCCATGGCCACTCAGAACAACATCATATATTTCAATTGCTGCCAAGTGGGGCATGTGCAGGCACAGTGTCCATTCCCTTTCCCTGGGCCAAACAGAATACACCATTAACGCTACCAGCATCTGTCAGGAAGTGGCTTGCAGAGCACGACACAGCCCCACACAATGACAGGACATGGCAGATTGTTCTGCCCTCAGGAAGACAATGGTTTCGGCAGCTCTTACCATGCCACTGCTGACCATCACATGCTCGTGCAGGACTGCAGAGCCAGTCAATGATAGTACTCCTTGACGTGCTGAGTAACTGGCCAGAGCACAGCATGTGCACCTCTGATGGGGACCACACGGCTGTCCTTGCCCTGGCTGTGAGTTTCTTCAACTGGCCTTTACTCAATCCAAGCTCACCTCTCCATCAGGTCTCCATCCTTCCTCTACCACAGTGTCTCCCTGCCTCTCCTTGCTGGGGTGAAACCTGGCCTAAGGGCAGCTTCAGGGCCACCAGGCCACGTTCCCCTGCACCTCCCCTGGTTTCCCCCTCCCACGTTTGGGCCCTACCACATGGATACCTTGGCACTGAGCACTGTCTTAGGCTGCTCTGTCCTTTGCAGGCAATTGTGGTGATGTGGAAGATCCTCCAGATGCCTTGCATCCCACATGTAGTGACTGTGTATTTCCCCTGCCTCTTTGTGCATCTGCTCTTCCAAGTGCTCTTCAGCACTCTGGATATGCCAGAGGAGGTCGATACCTTCTGGAAGGGATGCCAGCAGCAACACGGCCTTGCCACCAACCCTAACAGGTGCTCCATGCCAGTCCTCCTGTCCCTGCCATGTGCCCAGGGCAGAAGTCAGTGCTCCCAGCGTGACCTGGGCTTTGCTCTGCACACAGCATTGCAGAGCAGACCCTGAAGGCCCTGCTCTGCCAACTGCACTGTGACGATGTGGTGGTGGCAATGGAAGACAGGCATGCTTGGGAAACACTACTCTGTGCTGACACCCACCACTGTGCTGTGGGCGTGCTGGCCAGGTGAGAACCCCTGCTCCCAAGCTGCCCCTGGCATTTGTGTCCTTGCTACCCTCTTGAAGATGTACCCTTGGGCATCAGAATGCGGCAAGGGCCCAGCCCTTTTTGTTCTTCTTTAGGATATAAAGATAGTGCTCTAATACCTAGACTCCCAGGAGCTTTCTTTGGTGCCCAGTGTCCACAGGACACAGGGGAAGAGGAGAAAGCAGGTCCTTGTGCTCAGCAAGCTGCCCAGAGGTGCAGTGGGGAAGGGAAAATGGCCAGAAGCCCCTTGGCCTTTGGTGCTTTGATGCTGAAGCCTTTGCGCCCAGAGCGGCTGGGCAGGAGCCGGAGCTGCAGAGATCCCTGCCAGACTGGTGCCTGGAGATGGCCGCAAGCCGTTGTGCCCAGCCAGGCAATGCCATCTGTGTCCTCCTGCCTGTGTTTGGCTGGCTGCATTGCTGAGGGCTCCGAGGTGCCTCTCGATCCGGCTCCTCTGGAGCTCCGTCAGGGCTGCGCCGCTGCCGAGCAGGTTGGCCGGGCTGGGGGAGACCCTGAGGGGAGGACGGGGCGGTGGGAGGCCGTGGCGGTGGGAGGCCGTGAAGGGATGAGGTGCTGTGGCAGCCCTGACGGCACAAAGCGGTGGGAAGGCAGGAGGGCCATGTGGGAGGGAGTGGGTGACAGGAGCTACAAGGGGACCGGAGGCCCCTGAGAGCCAGGCTGGTGGGAAGCCCTGAGGAACTGGGTGTCAGGGCATTAGGGATGAGGAGAGAAAGGGTGCTTCTGCTGAGGATCAGACAGGACAGAGTGGTGCCATGAGGAGCCCCTGCACAGCACACTCGTTTCTTGCTAAGAAAAAAATGAGTTTAACTCACACCCCCAGGTAGGTTTAATAATTCTATCATTTTGAAAAGAAAGACCAGTTCAGCCTTGTAGTCCATTGGGGTCACAGTAAGGATTCTCAGAACGGTCTGATAGCTCCATGTCAGCTGGCACAGACTGTGCTGTTGAGAGCAAAGGGTTGTTCCTGCAGAGAAATGCAATGAAATTCACAGAGCAGAACTGCAGTTCAGTGAGAGTGGGAGGAAGTTCTCTGTCCAAAGTCCTGGAAGAGGCTGATGGTCAGAGAAGATAGAGGAACAGAGTGCTGCCTGCCTCCGTCTTCACAGCCCCTCTGGTTACACAGTATGCCCCAAATGGAATGTGGATTTGTCATTCCTATTCCACGACAGGGCATGAAAAAAAGAAAACTCAGAACAGAACCAAGAGTGATCTTGCTGAGCTAAAGCAGCAAAGGGAAGATCTGGCTGCTGGTACTTTCCAGTGCCCACCTGGCTGAGAAGAGACTCCAAGGTGTCAAGCTGCTCAGGAGTAGAACTGGCTACCTGCAGCGAGCAATTCTTTCCCTGCAAGCAGACCAAATTACTGGGGAACAGGAGGGAGCTATGATTTGGCCTAGCAGGAGAGAAGGGCTCCTGTAGCCTGTGAGAGACAGGGCTGGTTGTGCAAGTGGGTAGTCCTGCTGATCCTGATGTGCTGGAAGTGTCCTGGGAAATGGAGTGCAATTGGAAGGAGAGAGAGTGGTGAAGTTCGGGGCTGAGCTTGAACGGCTGACCGCTACATCTGGTACAAAGCAGTTCGTCTGGGAAGGCCTTCTATAATCTAGAGCTGGTAAATACCTGCACGGCACAGCCCTCACTCCCTGAGGAATGTTCCTGCTAACTGCCCCTCCAGCTGTCCTGCTGTCGGCTACACGCAGCTGGCATTACATTCTCTTCGGAGATGCTCACACCAAAGAACAGCCTTTCTTAAGAAAATTTTGCATATTCCACGCTCTGCAACACGCCGGCCGGTCACGGCGACCCGCGGCCGCACTCCCCGCGGGGCAGCCCCGCGCCGACCGGCAGAGGAAGCAGCAGATTCCGCTGCCCGCCTTCCCTTTCCCTTTCCCTTTCCTCTTTCCCCGACCCCCTTCCCTCTTCTCCTTCCGGGCAGCCGCGCAGCCGCAGCCGCGGCGCCGGAGCGCTCCGAGCCCCGCTGGTGCCGAGCCGGGCCGGGCCCCGCCGGGGCCATGGCGCGCTGCCCGCGCCGGGCGCTGGGCGCGGCGGGGCCGCTGCTGCCGCTGCTCTGCGCGCTGCTCCGCGCCGCCGCCGACACCAGCACCGGCCGGGTAGGTGGGCGAGCGGCGCCGGGCGAGGCCGCGGTGTGCGCTGGGTGTCTCGGGGTGGGCCGGAAAGCTGGGCGGTCAGCGGTTCCTTCGGTTCCTTCGCCTCCTCCGACAGAAGCCTTCCATCATCTCCCGCAGGGCCGGGCTGAGCTCGGGTGTGCGGGCACAGCTCCTTCGGCCACGCCTCGGCGGGTTGACCGGCCGGAGAAGCGGCCGTGCCTCTGCTGTGTGATCATAGGCTTCAGTGTCCGGGAGCAGCTCTCGGAGTGTCCGGGTGGCCCTCGTGTGGTGCCCCGTTCCCGCTGCCGCCTCCGAGTGCGGCCGGGAGGGAAGGGGCTACGCGAGGGCAGCCCTACTCCGAGCTGTTTTGGTTACTGTGCTCTGCTCTCGCTGCTCGAGGGCAGCTAATGTTGGTTCTAATGGAGTGTCCCAGCATTGTTCTGCTTGTCGGAGGCCAAGGCAGGGGTAGCAAATGGTCTTGGAACAGTTTTGCAGCTTGGCTTTGTCTGAAGCCATTGGTGATGTTCGTGTTTAATAGCGCTGTGTGTGTCCGTGGTGAATTTTGGCATGCCCAGTTCAGGCACTCGCGTTGCTTCTCTACCCGACCTGGAGCACTTCCTCCGGCTCTGGTGCGCCTAACACGAGACCATTAAGGAGCTGCTGGTGCAAGGCCAGAGGAGGCCACGGATCTGAGAGCTGGAGCTCTACTGCTCTGAGCCAGGCTGGGAGAGCTGAGGGTGTTCACCTGGAGAAGAGAAGGCTCCAAGGAAAAGCCCCTTCCAGTGCCCAAAGGGGCTCCAAGAGAGCTGGAGAGGGACTTTGGACAAGGGTCTGGAGGGATGGGACACAGGGACTGGTTTCCTACTACCAGCAGGCAGGGTTAGATGGGATATTGGGAAGGAATGTGAGGGTGAGAGGTCCTGGCAAAGGTGCTTAGAGCAGCTGTGGCTGCCCCTGGATCCCTGGAAGTGTCCAAGACCAAGTTGGACAGGACTTGGAGCAACCAATGAGACCATAGTGGAAGATGCCCCTGCCTGTAGCAGGGAAGTTGAATGAGATGGGTTTCTAGCCCTTCTATGATTCTTTCTCCTGCTTTGGAAGCAGGGCCCTTCCCTCTCCCTAATGGCTTTGGCATCTTCTTGTTGCCACAAAGAAACAGGGATTGTTCTCCCACTTTTTCTTCTCCTGACTTGAGCCCCTTTCCTGCTGCTGTGTTTTGTTAAGGAAGAGCAAGCATCTTCCCTCCCCCTTCCCTGAGTGATCATGCTGTCAGTGGGAGAACAGGTCATGCAGATGATTTATCAGTGCTTATGTGGTGAAGACTGTCCTGTGGGTCAGATCGATTGGGGAAAAGCTTATAGGATATATGCTAGTCTCATAATAATTCTGATCTAAGAATTGAATCAACCAGAAGAATGAAGCACTAAATGTATATGAAAAGTTAGGGGGAAAAGTTTATGAAAACAATTTTTTATTATATTACTACTATTATTATTGTTGTTGTTGTTGTTATTGTTACTTAATATTCTGGTTTCTCCTCATGTCAAAGTGAGGGAGGGGAAGAGAGGAGAGGAAAAAAATCCTGGATAATTATATGTTTTTAAAAATGCAGTCCTTAGCATTTTGACAAGTTTGATATACAGTTTTATCTAAAACTACATTTTAGGGTGAAGGTAGGGAAAAGGGACAGAAATCCTTGAGGAGAGTTGGCTATTTTCTGTTCTGACAGTTTGCTGGTATTAGGTATTAGTTGAGGAATCACCCACCTAATCAGGGTCTTCAAACTTGTGGAATGCGGGTTTTTTTATGTGTATTTTAGGTCTTTTTGGGGTTTTGTTGGTTTTGTTTGTTTGTTTTGGTACATTTGTTTTGTTGTTTTGGTTTTTTTTTAAGAATTATTCCTGTGCTCATTGCAAGGGCAAAGGTGAACTTGTGTTTTCAGGGATTTCTCAGGACTTTTAAGCTGTTTTCTCAGAATGATGGTCGAGAGACAGCAGTAGGTAGTGGGCTCTTGGGAGCTTGCTGCTGTGGGGACTGAGGAGTCTCATGATGGCAAGAGAACAGGGTGCAGAGGAAGTCCCTGGAACAAGAACAAAGCTTCTTGGGCATTTCTGGTGCTCCAAAGACTTAAGTTTGCCCCAGTTGCTCAGTACAGATGATGTTCATTTTTAAGTGGCAGGTCTGCCTTGTCCTGTCACAACAGGTTATATTAAGCCGGGTCTTCAGCCCTTCCTAGGAATCATCTGATATTACCAAACCTAACAAAAAAAAAGAGAGATGGCTGAATTTTTTTTGGCTAGTTTGTCACTTTTTCTTTTGAGGAAATATTCTGAACTGTTATGTTGAAAACTTACTGTGGCATCTTACCATCTGTTTCTTTCTTTTTCAGGGTTGGTTAAAAACTTATGGCTACTTACTTCCATCTGACAGCCAAATGTCTCCCTTGCAGTCAGGAAAAGCTGTGCAGTCTGCAGTTGCCACTATGCAACAGTTTTATGGAATCCCAGTAACAGGAGTTTTGGACCAGACAACTATTGAGTAAGATTAATATAGGCTACTTTTGTCTTTCTATTTCTTAATGCATTGTCATATTTCAGTATGAAATATGTATTTCATACTGACAGTATTTTTTGTGAGTGTGAGGAGAAGCTCTTGTTACTGTTGTTCTTTGAGCACAGATCCCCATTTATGGTGCACAGTCAAAGCATGAATCCTGTGAGCTTCTGGAAGTGGAGCACATCAAGGGTTTAATTTACTTCCATCTCTCTCTGAATTTAGGTTAAAATTCTGGCTCCAGAAATGACTTCTAATCTATTTCCTAATTAATTTGATTTGTGTATCTCCACAGATGGTATTTGTGGAGATCCATAGTTAGAACCGAAGTGAGTTACTGTAGTCTGATGACAGTAGTTAAAGGTACTTACCTGCCCATAGTTGCCATTTGTTGGACATTAGATGTTCTCTGCTGTATGTTGGCCGTGTGTTGTTGTTTGTGATCACGGTTTTGATAGCTCAGAAGCATTAGTGTAAATCACCAGGGCAGGAAGGGCTTTGTTTTTTCATCTTCTCTTCAATGTGGGCTCCAAAGGGTGATGTGGAAGTGGCTCCTTGTCTGGTTGCCGGGGTGTCGTGTAGTGGCTGGATCCACCTGCTATTGGTTTGGGGTGCATCTGCTAACTAAAGCAAAATGCAGAGGAAGTCTTCCTAAGGCTTTCTGGGGAAAAAAGCGTATCATGGTGAGCAAAAAGAGAAAGCCCAATGGAACTTGCTTGGGCCCTCCCTAGTTGTCCCTTGCCGTTGCTACATTAGCAGACCCTTTCAGAGCATGCTCTGCCTTCATCTCTCCTCACAGGGCACACTGCTGGTAAAAGGGACATGGTAGCCCAAAAGAAAGGCCCATAAAGTAACCAAATAATGTAAAGAACAAAGGTTTTATGCCTTCTGGGCCACAAGAAGAGGGAGAAACAGAAGAAATTAGTGAATCGGACAGGAGGGGATCATCCTGGGTTGGGACTACCTCTCCAGTGAATGTAACATTCCCTCCTTTAGCTCACAGGAAGAGCCCCTTGTTTTCCATTGAGGGACAGAGAAAATCCTGTATGCTTTTCAAATTACTTGAAAACAAAGTGCTTTTTAAAGGTGAGGATTTTCCATCTGAGATCTCTTTGCCATTAATAACATGGTTTGTAGGTGAATGTTGAAGCAGAGCCATCGAGCAATGCTCTGTGTGTGCAGATGGTGTGTAGAAGCTTGGATTTGGGATGCTGATGATTTGGAAAGGAATGGGGAAAGAAGGGGCAGTGGCTGTGATATTGGGGTGCTAGTTGGGAAAGTTAAGGAGCTGCTTCTGCTGCCTTGCGGGTGACAGGAGGGGCACAAACTGTGACTGGCAATCCCTGCTTTATTAAGTAAATTTTTTCTGACAGAAAGGAAGGTGTTGCCCACGTTATACTGAGTTTGTATTTATGGGCAGGGCTTGATCAATGTATGAACATGCAAAGGTTGATGAGTGAAAAACCCAGATGGTTCCCTCTTCTGTAACTCAAATCTTGAAAACTTGAGACCTCAGCTCCAACCAAACACTGGTGTGCTTGGGAGGCATGTTGAGTTGCTCTATCTCCATCTCTCCTGAGTCAGTGGGTCCATATGTTGTATGACAGGGTGGAATTTGCCTAGAATTTGCATGAATGGAAAAAGAGGTACAGATTGCTGTTAACAGTGAGCCTGTCGTTTGAGCTGGAGGGGCATCTGCCTGGGCTGTGTTGGGCTGTCACTTCTCAGACCTGGTTTTGGAAGCTGGGCAGAAGGAAGAGAGTTGCCAAGGCAGGCTGCCTCCAAGAGCTCTGAATTACTCAAGCATTTACTAAGCCATTGTTTCAGTCTGTGTCAGGAGTTCTGAGATTGCAATTTGGAATTTTTCTGTCACTTCCATCAGTGTCATAAGTTCTGTCTTTAAAGTGATTTTAAGAATCAGAGTGATTTACACTTACTATGGAAGCCTAAAGTTTCTCATTTCCTTTCCCACATGCCCTCAAATCTGGAGCTTTTTTTTCTCCTCCAAAATTGATACCCAAGCATGTGGAAACTTCCATGCAGGTGCTGCTAGTGGGAGATGGAAAGAAGCACCACCACTGGTGATGCTTTTTGGTACCTAAAAGGAAGTTTGGGTGAGGGTCCATGGAGAATGCAAAAAACAGCCTCCTCAGACCCTGCAACTGATGATGCCTCAGCAAATTTTGTGTCTGCCTGCAGCTGGTGGGCTGAACTGTGGTTTTGTGAGCAGCTGGGCAAGGATATAATCCTGGAGCATGCTGGAGAGAAGACACACTAGTACTGAACAAAAATGGTGATTTGTCTTTGTCATAGTCAATCACATGGCCTTGGAAGGGACCAAAAAATAATCTTACTTGTGTTGAAAGCATCTTGTGCTTTGTCTTGAGCCTGTTGTGCAGATCTCTCACCTTGGGGTGCACCACAGCTGTTGAAACATACCATTCCCACCAGCTGAAAAGTAGGGGATTGAGAGTAACAGCTCCCTCTCTTTAGGAGAGTCTTGTGAAAGGCTTGGAGCCTGAGCTGGGGAGAGCAGCTGTATCTGGACAAGAACTAGATGTCTCTGCTTTTGGAAATTGCTTGTTTCCTGATGCCAGGCAGCTGGAGGAATGCAATAGTCTGTGCCTCAAGTGTGCCAAGTATAAATTTTGATGATCCAGTGTTACTGGCGTTCCCATTTAAAAAACTAAGGAGAGGGGAAATCAACCATAAGTATCTGAATCTTGCTTACGGTAATTGTCTTTTGTTGTTTCTGATGTGATGATTTCCCCTGGAACATAGAGTGCACTATCCAAACTGCTCAGTAGAGAATGACTATCATAAAGCTCAGCTACAGATGATTAACAGCAGCAAGCTACAGCTCTGTGGATATTTTGCCACAGACCTGCCCTGCTGAGTGGAGGAGAGATGGCTGGATTTGTACCATGTGATTAGACCAGGGCCCATATGTCTGGGAATTAAACTGAATCAGGGATCTGATCCAGATAAACATTCTCAGCTTGACATTAGCTCAGGCTGATGACAGCTTGGGTACTGCTGAATTCCAACCAGGTAGCTGAGCTCTGTTCCTTCACTTCAGACAGGCAGTATCTGAGCTGTGGAACAAACTATGGTAGAATATGAGGTTCAGACAGGCCTAAGTGAAATGGGGTCTTTATATAGTTTAAATACTATATAATGAGGAGTTAGGGGCCATGGGCAGCATGAGTCTCAGCAGCTCTATCTTGGAATCTTTGGCTCAAGAAATCCTTGAAAGCCCCAGGGGTTGGTATTGCAGCTTCCTCTGGAATGGCCCCATATCCCTGTGCCTGTACCTGGAGCTGGCAGAGGGGCAGGGAATTTGGCTGTTGGAGGGAATTCTCTTTCTGTGGTGTCTCTGTGTAGTTCTGGCTTTGATAATAGAGGGCTGAGCTGTGTGGGGGTGAATTCATGTGGCCAGCTGGGCATGGGGCAAGTGTTGAGAACTTGGCAAGGTGTTCTTACAGGAAACAGATGATGAGATGTGAGGTCCTGCTGCTGTGTCAGCACTGCCCTGGACAGCCCCAGTGACTTCTCCACACATGCAGGCTGGTTTGGTAGTACTGCTCTGTTAATTCTTTGTCTTCCAGATGATACTAGTAAGGATGAAACAGAAGGTCATTTTCTGACTATAATCAGGGCCTGATGACAGTAATGTTCAGACTACCGGGGTTTTCATGAAGCTAAAACGGTGAAAACCTGATTCAGACTATGGCTTGTGTAAGGTTATGATGAAAACATTGTATCATAACATATGAGTGGAACTAAAAAAAACCCTGAAAACTCAGGATATATTTAGGAGCATACAGGTGACAGTAAGCTTGAAGTGTCTTTAGGAAAGTGCTAGAAGCAATGCAAAAGAGCACAAATAAAGGACACTTAAAAATCACAGTGTGTTCAGGTTGTATTTATATTTCTAAAAGTAAATCTTAGATGTACTGCTTTTCTTTGAAGGTGGCAGCAGTTGTGTGGGCAAGAAAGATCCAATTTCCACAGGTTGCTTGGATTTCTGAAAGATGTAGAGTGCTGATAAATGTGAGGTGATGTAAGTGGGGAAGATCTGTGCTGGCTTTATATACACAGCTTGGGTTCTTGTCAGGTACAGTGCAATGTGTATAACAGCTCTCATTTGCTCTGTTCTTGGTGGGGAGATGATGACAGATGATTGCACTGAAATTTATAAGCAACCAAAATTACATAGAAGTGGAATCAGGAAAGGGTTGCGTGGCTGCCTAAAGAGCGAGCAGATGTGTGTGTTCTGAAAGAATTTTCTGGTGAGGTACAGTGTCTGTGTGTCTGGTTGGTTTTTATTTAAAATTGGTTTTTATTTAAAATTGTCCTGACAAAAAGTCTTATAAACCATCTACTGGTGGTGGGAGACTCTCCCTTCCTGAAGGTCTGGGGTTAGTATTTTTTAGTGAATAAGAGGTACATTGTCTAGGCACAAGTGTGGACTACTTGCCATTGGCTGGCTGCAGTTGATGGAGGAATGTTTGCATTTGGAGGCCAAAAGTTGTCCCCTGGGTAGCCAAGAAACCTTACTGAGGAGGGTGGAGAGAATTTGGTGTCCTGTGGGAAATGGGCAAGCACTGGTTAGAATGCTTTTCAGTGGCATGTCCTGCAAAGTGTTCTTAAGGGCTTTGTGTCACTTGCCTTTGCCATCAGAGTGAGTGGATCAAATGCATGAAATGCCTGAAGAAGTCCAGTGACTGAGGCAATGCCAATCTGCTTAGGGGGAGGCTGTGGCCAGAGGTTGCTTGCATTATTCCTGGGCTCTGCTCTCCTGTCCTGGGATGCACTGCAGAGTCTTAAAGGATGTGACTGGGGACCTGTGGGGTGTAGTACCTGTAGTTCAGTTCCTCAGTCTCTGCCCTTGTCTCCTTCTTCCCCAGCTGCCACATACAGTGAGGGGCAGATTTGTTCCTCCATAAACCACTTCCAGCTTCTGTGGAGTGTGCCCACACAGGCAGGTGTAATTTAAGGATTTATCCTTGATTCTGTCTGAGAATCATTGAAGGAGTGTCTTGAGTTCCTCTACTCCAACCCTTTGCTAAAACAGGCTGCCCAGGACCATTTCCAGTTGGGTTTTGAATATCTTCAAGGATGGAGGTTCTGCCAATTCTCTGGGCAACTTCTGCAAGTGTTTGACCACCCCAAGCTACTGTAAGAAAGAAACAAAAGATCTGTCAAGGCTGGAGGTAAAGGAGATAGAGAGACAGAGAGTGGACTTCTGTGATAATACTGCCTGGATCCCTGGGCAAGGGACAGCATCCTTTGCTCTTCCAGTTCACTTGGCAATAGAGACTAGAGTTTCCTACATCATGAGTGACATCAAGAGTCAGGGGTTATGGGGAGAACCTAATGGAATTTAGTGTGTGTGACCCAGAGACTGGAGGGATCTGATGAAAACCTTAGTTATTATCTGGGAGGGTTGTGTTTGCACTTGTTCAGTTCTATCTAGTGAGATATGAACTGGATTTTTTTTCAGTGGCACAGGACCACTTCATCAAATGGAGAGTGGATCCAGTAGGTAGTAAGTGAGTTTGATCCCAGAGCACAGCCACCTGCGATTTTGATTTGGATCTCTCGTGGCATTATCATCATTAAGCTCTTGTCAAGCATAGAGACTATCTGACCTGGACTCTGTGTTTCCACAAGAAAAAATGAAGTGGATTTGCTGTATGGATTGCCAGCAGAGGTGGGTAGCACAGCCTTGTGCAGAGGATAAACTTGACAAAGGGAGGACTGAACCCTTCTTTGTGTCAGCACTGGCCATCTCTCAGAGGTCTTCCAGTCACCTCCTGAGTTCTTTGAAATCTCTTTTCCAAACTCTTAGTGTAGCTTGTTGGTTTTTTACTTTACTTGCAGGTGGATGAAGAAGCCTCGATGTGGAGTTCCGGATCATCCTCACCTACGTCGCAGTCGCAGCCGGAGGAAAAAGCGGTATGCACTCACTGGCCAGAAGTGGAGACAGAGGCACATAACCTACAGGTACAGCCTCCTCCCTCCCCCTTTTTGATGGGGAGAAAATGGTCTGTACTTGTTTGGCATGCAGAATTTGTAAGTACTTTTACATTGAGACTGGATCCTCCCTGTAATGTCTAGTCTGGGCTTTTGTTCTCAGAATGTGGTGGAGTAGAATACTGTCAGAGCACTGGAGTACTGAAGAGTCTGTTATCAATTAGAAAATAAATGATCAATAAAAGCACCTGAATTGCAGCCATTAGTTGTGTAATTTTGGCAGAAAAATCTTAGCAAAAGGCCCTTTTTCTTCTGTTAGAAATCTAAGGCTCTAGCCTTTAGATCATGTGTCACCTTTAACAAACCATTAAAGCAGAAGGAACATCACTGTTTGAGGACGAGTTGCTTTCTCCTTCTACTGATTTGCAGCATTTATTTTTGCAGAGGTTTTACTTTTTCTCCTCTAGTAGAGCTCTTGCTTTTATACAGACTTAGGCCAGCTAGGGTGAGCTGCAGGTGTCAAGGGAGTGTTGCAGAGGGGCAATTGTTTCCCAGAGGTATTCTGAGTCAGGCTGTGAGGTTTTGGAAGGCAGTTGCTGAAAGATAGTCAGTGGAGATTTATGGCAATAGGAATGTCACTTCAAATTAAAATTAACCCACCCTCTAGTTGAAATTGCAGCCTTTTAAGTTTTTTGGAGGGGGAAAGGAGATTGCAAAGGAGTGAAAATTAGATGTGTAGTCATTAAGGAGAAAATCTGGGTAAGACTAAGATAGAAAGAAGGTCTGTGGTGAAGAGGTAGAAATGTGAGTGACCAGCATGGGAAAAGTACCAGAATGTGTAGGAAAGGACATGATGGTTTGAAGAGAAAGAGGATGAGGGACTGGGGCCCTCTGTCTCTTCTGTCAAGAATTCTGAGAAAGGAGGAGGATGCTTCAAGTTACAGTGACAAGCTGCAGAGACTGGGAGGAAGGACTGATTCTGGGGACTAGTTCAAAGCTTCCACCAATAATTGTTTTAACTCAGATTGTAAAGGGACGTCTTCTGTATGCAAAGGTCTGAGAATCAGATCCTTCTGACATTTTTCTGGACCCTTGGGGAAAGTGGTATAGAATCATATAAATAAAATAAGTATATGCATAAGCAAGAGAAGCAGCTTGGCAGATGGCTGCGCTGCTGTCCTTGTCAAACTAGTAGTTGTTTAGCTTTCCAATTTCAGTATTTGCAGTGTGCATTCAAGTGATGGGTGTCTTGATTCACCACTGAATGTGTTACAGTGTGTTTATATTAAATTGAACCAGCTTCATTAAAGACTGAAAATTGTTCCCATTACATAGATACTTTATATTCCCCAAGTGAAGTTTAATAGATCGTGAAGCTATTATATGCACACGCACAAAACATCTCCTAAATACCATTTTTAATGTAAGGCTTAGAATTATGGGACATTTATGTGCAGTAAAATGCCCCTTACTCTCACCACATCTTTAGCTGTCATGGACTGGGCTGCACAAAACTGGCAGATCCATCACTCTTATAAGCTCTAGAATATTTAAAGTAGTTCGGAGAATGAAGCAGGTCATATAAGTAAGGTTGTGTAGCTTACTGGAAGTTTGCTTCTCAAAATGAACTTTAGTGGTCCTTTTTTTTCATGTAGTAGATTCCATCTTAGCATAACTTCAGACAAAATCTGAAGTAATTTATATATTTTAAAAAAGTTACTCAGCTGTCTACACCCAGATTTGAAAGGTTTTTAGGAAGTGATCCAAAATCAACCAAAGCATTATGAGGATTCTTGTTAATAAATGTAGAATTCATATCAGGGTGGTAGTTCTGTTGATAACTTTATTTGTAACAGCAAAACTTTGCATGCAGAGAGTAGTGTCTTCAAAAAACTTCCCTTCGGAAGTTGAAACTGTGGTTATGTATTGATAAGTCTCAAATGTATTCTGCAAATTGAAACATTCCTTCTTTCTCATACCAACAGTGTACACAACTACACCCCCAAGGTTGGTGAGATTGATACAAGGAGAGCCATTCGTCAGGCCTTCGATGTTTGGCAGAGAGTGACACCACTTACCTTTGAAGAGGTCCCTTACCATGAAATTAAAAATGACAGAAAGGAGGCAGATATTATGATCTTTTTTGCTTCTGGTTTCCATGGAGACAGTTCCCCATTTGATGGAGAAGGTGGATTCCTGGCTCATGCTTACTTTCCTGGACCGGGAATTGGAGGAGACACTCACTTTGACTCAGATGAGCCATGGACCCTGGGAAATTCTAATCATGATGGTAAGAGTGCAGGTCATCTTTCCCAGCAAGGATAAGTTGGATGCAGACACACTGACAGGGTTTCAACTAGAAAGTATTTGATTGGTGGAGCTTTCACCTCAGTACACTGGTTCAGATGGCTTCTAAATATGTATTCTATCTTAAATGGGAAAACAATAGTATTAATTTGTTTTTGGCTGTGCATGATGTGAATTTTAGGAGTAAACAGAAGAGTGTGTCTGCTGGCTTCTTACATCTCTCAAGATTTGGGCCTTAATTGCTACAAAAACCACAAGTCTGGGAGGGAAAAGATGAATAAAAGTGTGTGGAAATTGTATCAAATGGAATACTTTCCAAAGGCAATTGAAGTTAGTTGTAAAGGTGAATAGAAATTTGAGAGTGAAGACATTTGAATTGCCAATTTGTTTTGATCCATATTTGTTTTCTAACACTCTGGAGTTCCTTATCCTATCAGAGTTTGAGGCTGTCTGATTAGTTAAGGGTGACTGATGATTGGGACAACTCTTTTAATCTTACTAAGCATGAAGAGTTTCTGCATCTTTCTAGCTTTGTCTTACTCTCTAAAGTCAATGAGCTCTTTCTGTTCTATTTTCAAACCTTTGATTGAGCATAGTGATGCCTTGTAAAAAGTTTAGGCTGATAATCAGAATTTCACAGTGGCCTCACAGAATATGTCTCCAATTTCCACAGTCCTAATGGTTTGGGAAGAGAGAGGTGTCTTTAAATCTTTAGGGATTCAAAATCATGTTTTGATATTTTGATAAGGACTAAAAGTTTACTTGGACTGTAAATGTCTTGATTTTTAAATTGTATAAAAGCAGTAGTATAGTGCCCATGATGCCTAAGGACATATGCAGAGGTGATGTCTTTCTGTAGACCAAACAGTGTTGTTTTAAAAGAAGAAAAGCTTTCAGGCACACAAGCTACCTTCAGGCCTGGCTTAAAGGTGACAGCTTGCTTTCAGACTGGAGTGCAAATGGGGGAAATCCCTCAGAGTTGTGAGGAGATATCAGATCATCTTTGACAGGAAATGGAGCTGTCAGGTTCAGCAAGGAAATGCTAATTTGTAGGAAAGCAGAAATCATACGATATTTGTCTTTGTAGGGAAAGAGAAGTAATGCTTCCTGGCATGTGCAAATGACTAGAGGAGGTGTAGGCTGAGAAAGGGAGGTGAGGTGTGGAGAGGGGAAGAGTGTGGAGACTGTGGGAGATTATAATGTGACTGAGAAGGAGTGTTCTGCTGTGAAATGTTAGGAATTTTTATTCCTAAGTTTGTGGCTGGAGGGCTCCCTCCAGATTGGGAGTGACAGACAGAGTGAGTGGTTATCTTGTGAGAGCTGCAGCAGCAAGGTGTGTTTGTGTGTGTCAGTGCTCTGTGCCACTTCTGTCTGGTCTCAGTAGTTATTTGAGCTCAGCTGTGGGAGTGTGATAGGCCTAGATATTGGATATGACTTCCCAGGAAAGTTAATGTATGAGACCTGGGAGTGCTGGTGTCTGGGGTAGAAGGTCCTTCCAGGAAGGTGGAAGGGAAGGTTTTGAAAAGTTGTACTTGCTTTTTTCTCTTCTCATTCTCTGCACAAAATGCATCGTTCTGAGATAAGCTTAGCAAGGTTGGGAGCCACCTTAAAGACTGGCAGGGATGGCTCTGCAGAAAATATTCCATCATTTGCTAGGATGTTCCACCACAGGTGGTTACTTCTTCAAGGGTTTTTTTTAATGCAGTTTTTAGGGTGGTGTTTGAGTGCAATGCATACAATGAGTAGAGTGTCTCTCTTTTTAGAAAAGCTATTCTTATGCTATTCTTATCCCTGTGGCTCTTTCAAAGACATTATGTATTTCTCTGCTGTACTGAGTGACTGTCATGAGTGGTGTCCTGAAAGTTCATGAATTGGTATTTGAGGGGCTGGTGTGCTCTTTGTGTAAGAATTGTTAGAAGAATTGAGATTTCCTTTTCAGAGGATGTCACCTGTGCATTTGCTTTCAGATTACTGTGCTGCATAGACTGGGCTGCACAGTCTCTTTTAAAAGGTCACCAGTGAGGATGTTGAGAATGATGGGGTTGTATTTGACCCTTCCATCTGGGGGAAGTGTTGGTGGTAGAAGGGGAATTTGATGATTTGAGGGTGGCAGGGGTAAGGCTGTAGTCAGAGCATTATAGATGTGTTGTGTGAGGAATTTGGTTTTGCCTGCATCCTTATCTTTGGTGTGCAATTGTGAAGGTGTCCTGCTTCCTCACTGGATGATCCAAGCCTCTTTAGGGAGGGGTTTCCTTCTGTTTAACTGTTCCTTGTCACTGGAGCACTCACTAGCTTCAGGTTCTCACCTCTGATGTGTTCCATTTGAAATGCTTTTAGCAGGACTTTGAAAAGTTTCTTCTTGGTCAGAGGTTGCCTGCTCAGTTCACTGCCAATTTTCATTGAAAATAAAGTATTAGAGGGAACAATGTAATCTGTTTAACAAGAAGTGTTTCTTCAAACATGTTCTTGCTTGTCATTAAGATAATGCATTTTGTGGCAACAGGGTTAATCAGTCTGGAGTTGAAGAAGCCTCAGTAAAAGAATAAAAAAGCCCTAGCAGTAAATCATTAGCAAAGCTCTTGTTTATTCGCATGCAAAGGAGGAACTGGTTTGGCCATTCAGTATCTGTTCAATGATTATAAGAGTCTTGAAATAAGATTGAAGTAACAATAGTATATTTTCATCAACTCATAGAATACCACAGTGTAAAATGTTCCATTCCTGATAAGAATGTGTATTAGTTGAAGGGAAAAGTTGAGCCGTCTACCTTGGAGCTCTCTTAGCCTTGCAATTGTGAAGGTAAATCTCCTGTCAAGAGAGCAGAATGCTGAAACTGGTGCCATAGATCCTTAGAACATTTTGCTGACCTCTCACCCATAAAGTTTTATTACAATTATTCCAGTCTGAATCCTTGTTTTTGTGTGTCTGCATATGTTACGCTGTATTGTGGCACCTGCAGAGGTCCAGACTGTGTTTGGAATCAGCTGTCACCCCACAGAAGACATGCTGTGCAGTCTTCACTAGCAGTACAAATTATACGGATAAAAGTGAAATGTTTCATATGTAATTTCATCCACTCAGGAAGAAATGAAAACGATTTGAGCAGATCTTTTTATGCAAACAGCCATCTACAATTTGTGTATGGAGAACGTGGTGTATCCTGTTGATAAAAGCTTCTGTCTTGTAAAGAGACCTTGTGGTAATCCACTGAGTTATTGACAACTTTATCATCCCAGCCAGGATATAGTTGGTTGGGATTTATATGCTCATTATCATTTTGCATTGTTATTATTATACTGCTTTTGCCCTTGTGGACAGCATGACCACTACCATGTCCCTTAAAATTATTGGTGTAATCATAATAGCTGTGAGCTGTTGGTTGTCCTCTTGAGCCCTTGGTAATAGGAGCACATGCACCAGCCCTTCTATTTTCTTCTGCTGTGAAGAATGACCCCTGCATAGGCTTTCAAAGTGAATGTGAAGTTTCCTTCCCCCTGGATATTAGTTACAGTTCCACTCAGGCATTCAGTTTCTTTAGCTGAGTAAAACTGTACTTTCAATTTATGGTTGCTGATTTATCTTCATAATTGTACTGCCTTCTCTGGCATTTTCATAAGCAAGTTCTGGAAGATTAATTTAGGTAATCTTATTACGAAGATAGGCAAAACCAGGTGTAAGAGATTAAACTCCTGGAGCAGCTCCTGGGATCATGGGATGCAGAATATTCATTTGTTTTCTGGTAATGGTGTTGATGAGAGCAGCTGGAAGCATGAAGCAGAATGCTGGAATTTGTAGGAACCAAGGGAAATCAGAGAAGTGATGCAGCAAACAAGATGCAACTGAAAAAGAGGGGGTGCATTTAGAGATAAATCATCCACACAACTATACATGAGGAGCAGCTGGCATGGTCACAGCGGTGGGGACTGACCTCCTGTTTTTCCTGGAAGGTGCTCTTCAATAGGAATGAAAGCAGCTGTTGGCTGCTTAGCTGGGCCCAGACTTGTTAGGCATTGGTGCCTGGCACATGGAGACAGGTGAAGCTGTGTTTGGGGTCCCTGTCTTTCAGCAGAACCTGGGGTGTAGCTGCTGCCTGGCTCCCCTCTTAGCTGCTCAGGCGCAGCACGTCTCAGCGCAGGCTCAGTGTCCCAACTGCTGGTTTTATCAGAAGGAACACCAGACTTCCCTGTCCTTTCTTGAAGTTTTGGGTATTTTTTTACTTGAAATGTGCTGTAGAAACAGCCAAGCAGGCTTTGAACTGCCCACCTCAAGACTCACAACACTGACACGTTGCTCAGGCAGAAAAAGCCTGAAAGGGGGTGCTTGAAGCCCTAAACAGACTTGTGAGTGCTGGGATCTCTCTCTCTCTTGGCTCCTAACTTGGCTCAAGCATACAGGTGATGCATGAAATACATTATTAACTAGCTAAATAAAGGACTTACTAGTCTTTATATGGAAATAATAATTATAGATGTGTATAACTCCAAAGACAAGAGGAAAAGTAATCCTGAGTGACTGAAAGTTTGTTCTGTCAGTTTAAATATCCACATGACACATAACAGCTCTTACACACCTCTGACATCTCAAGCATGATTTTAATCCAGGTTAATTACAGAAAGTAAATTTTTATCTCCCATTTAACATTACAAGTAGTATTAACAATAATCCCAGGCAAATCTCCCTTCTGGTATTTTAAAAGCAAAAATACATTGCTGTTGTGCATGTCACTAACACCATACCATTAAATCTGTGGTGTCTGTCAACCCCCTGCAGGTTGATTAGAGAATCTTTTTAATACTAAAGTGAGGTATCCATACTCTGCCAGGGATCACCAGATTTTATCTCATTCACCATGCCCAGAGTTGGCCTCTAAGACCCTCTCTATCATCTGTTGTCATGTGGCATTGTAGGCAGGAGTGTGCCCAGGGCAGCCACTTCAGCTCCTTCAGGAAACACCTGCAGCTGATGAATTATTTCTGTACCAACTTCAGTGTGGCTCAGCTTCACATCATGTGGTCACTGTACAGACCAGAGAGTTCATCTTTCAGTGTCTCTCTTTCACACCTGTACCAAGTTTTCTCTCTAAATGTTGGATGACCACTGTGGCAGCTTTTTAGATCTTGGCAAGAAATGCTGAGCTTTGCTAACAGCAAGTAAACAAATCTTAGAATTGTTCCAACTGATTGTGTCCCCCATAGATCCCGTGGGTTCCTGCAGAGGCTTCTTTGGAAAGCTTCCTGTTCATGGCTTCTAAAAGAAAGCAACCAAAAATACTGCCAGAGTTTGCAAGCCACTGGCAGAAGCAGTACAGGAGATGAGATTTCACAGGTTACCTTCAGTTAATTCAGTGCTAATTCAGAGCAGGAGCTTCTGCAGAAGGAGGAAAGGGCCTGAACCACTTTTGGGAAGGTTCTGTCAGCCACAGATGAGAGGAACTAGACAGCTTTTTCCCTGTAATTCTACCACAAAGTGTAGCATTTTGTCAGTGGACATCTACCTTAACAGCAGAGCAAGCACTCCTGGAGTCACCATCTGGACATGGCATATGTTCAGGAATCTGACCAGGACAGCCAAATTTTTCAGGACAGCCAAATATTGTCTAGGCAGACAAATGTGAATATTCAACAAGGATCTGAAGGAAAAAAAAAATTATTGGGGTAGCTAATTTTGGAGCTTACTGACAGCCAGTGATCATGACAGACCTGTTTGGGAGAATGCAGAGCTTTAAGCCAACATTTATGCTGATCAGTGTGTTCAAAGCATTGTCTTCACTGGAGGTATACTGTTTTCTGTCGTGGCAGTAGTAACATCACAAACCTTCTTGATTCTTTGGACATTTGTGTCCCTGTGAACAAGATGAAACCAGGAGAGCTGGGCTTGGTCAGCCTAGTGAGGAGAAAGAGGATGGGGAGGAAGCATCTAATAGCAGTCTTCCACCTGAGGAGGTATTAGAGAGGAGAGAGGCACACTCTCTTGATGGAGGAGGAACAGAAAAAGGAACAAAAGGCAAGGGGCACAAGCTGCATGCAACAAGAAAAACTCCACCTGGGGTGTATGGTAAAAACTTCTGCACCTACAGAGTGGTAGAACTCAGAGGCTGCACCTGGAGAGGTTGTGGGGACTCCATCCTTTGAGACTTTTGGAACATGGCTGGATGATGTCCTCAGCATCCTGATGTAGTTTTGAGATTAGCCCTGCTTGAAGCAAAAAGTAAAACTTGGTGACTTCCAGCCATGCATTTCAATCTACATTTTTCCATAATTCTTTAGTACTGCCATAGACAGAATTTGAGGTCCTAGAACTTAACAGCAAATTGTAGTTACTTCTCATGGCAGCTCTGAGCCATAACAAGATATTCAGCTCATAAAAATCTCTGTTTCTTTCGGCTAGTTCCCTTCTAAAAACAAGACTGTTAAACATTGAAATCTTTCATGAGAGAGGACCAGTGATGCTCACAGGTGCATGAAAAGGTAGCAGGCAATATTTTTTGCCAGCTGCTTGATTCTTTTGAATAGCCACGTCTGACTATTTTTTTGTTTGTTTGTTTGTTTGTTTATTCCATGCCTGAATGTACAAGGTTTCTGGAGCATTGACTAGACTAATCCTATAAACATAGAATGTATGTTAGAATGTCCAACAGATTCCCTGGTATTAAGGGGGATGTATCAGTAGGTTTTGCTTTTTCTAGGTAAAAACTAGTCATACAATTCTTTGTTATCAAAGACTTCCAGATGTTTCCAGTCACTTTGGAAATATTGCTGGCTAAACATTATTCTATATTTTTTGTTTGATTACAGTTGTGATATTTTATGTGGGGGGAGGGAACTAAGAGGAATGCAGAATATCCAACTGTAGCTTTCTTTTTGTGTTTGAGATTTGTATTGACATCAGTTTTCCTAGGTTGACTCTCTGCTCTCTGCTTGCTCACCACTTAACTGACTTGTGTAAGTGCAGCACCTGCTTGGAAAAGAAAATGCACTTTAACCCCTGTACCTTCACCCAGAAAATTACCAGAACTTGGTAGTCTTTTCTCCTCAATTAATTCTTATTTCCTCTGCATCTTGCCTCACTTTGTCTCATTTCTTTCTTATTTTGTCACTTTTTCTCATGTTCATTTTCTACTGAAGTACTGAGGCTGGCAATCTACAGAGTGTGAGTACAATGAGTAACTCACAACAGAGAACATGTGTAATCTTTTGTGCTGTTTGGCTGCTAAGTAGATTTTTAATTTTCTTTCTTTGATTTCTCAGATACAGAACATCTGCAAATTTAAAGAGTCTTGTTCTAACAAATGGCATTTTGAATCCATCATTATTTTTCAGGCTTTTGACACTGTTGTTGAAAATGAACATCAGCATTTTCCAGAGTGAAAACCAGAGCTGCTTTGAAGTTACTCACGTGTCCTTTAACACAGAAGACCTGGAAGACTTTCATGTACACGTTGGAAGTCAAGTGGGGCATAAACAGTATTAAAATTTCAATTTATTCTCTCAGGCCTTTTGATGGTACATCACCAGGTCATGCTGTTGCTTGGTATTTTGTTTATTGAAGACTAGTTCAGTGTTTAATCTCCAGGACATACCTACTTAACACTGGTTTCATCCTGTAGCTGCTTGGAGAGAGACTCCTTCCCATAAGCCAGAGCTGTCTCATATCCTATGCTAATGTTGAACAGATTTGAGCAAGGATATAGACACATGATTTCAAGACAGCCAACCAAAGTAAAAGAAAATCAAATCAGACAGCTTAAATGAGCAGCAGTTTGAGATTACACCCCTCTCCTGTCATCTGAAGGAGAAGAGAAGAAGCCCATCAGCACACAGGGAAGATTTCTGTCTTCAGATTCTCCTCTCCACCCCTGGACAGCCTCTCTGTAAGTAATGCTTTCTTTTGGTGTGTTTGCTGTCATTCTACAAACATGGCAGTTGCTTCACAATACAGGCTGGATTTTAAATCTTGGCAGTGCTAGTTACTGATTACAGCTGAAATTCATTAGTAAGGGTCATCTCCAAATTCCAAATTTTCAAAACACTGTACTTGTAAATACACTTAATGGTAGTTGTCAATACCTGAAGTTCACAGTGTTCTTTAAAGAAAAATGTTATCCATTGCATTTGTTAGTAACCTTTCAATAAACAGAGTATGAATATAGTTATGTAGGTATTTGGAGTCCTATTGATTTATGTATAATCAAAGTAAAGTATTTTACTTCTTTTCACAGAGAATGAAGTACTCTGGGATTCACAGGAAAGAGCCAGTAAGGATCAAAATGATGTGTCATTCCCTTAAAAAGGAAGAAAAAAAAACTGTGAAAAAAACAGGCCACAAGAATCAAGGTGAGCCAGAAAGTCTCTTTTTATCACTTTCTTTTTGTAAAGTCAAAACTGATGATGTGAAATGAGGCAAAACGGAGCCGTGTCTTTAATAAAGTTGTGGCATTCCAGTTGCTGAAGGGCAAAGGAGAAAAACAACAGGCCATCAGGAAGAAAAAAAGTAAAAATAGAGGAATTCTTGAAAAGAGTTTGCAGCTTGTAGCATCAGGCAGGGAAATGGCACCCAATACTCTGATTTTTGACATCACACGGAGCAGCAAACTTGGGAGTTGCTTAGATTTCTTTTTTTCTTTTCTCTAGTGTTTCTGAAGAAGAGCTCACAGTTTGAAAACAATTTTATTAGTATTGCCTTCTCTACCCAAATCCACCAAAAATATAACTCTGAAGGGGAGATCTCTTCCATCCCAGCTCTCTTATGTCTCAGTCCTACTCAGTCTTTACAGGCCCATTAGGAACTTCTGTGTCGGGGAGGACAGTGACAGAAAGTCTCCTGTTCTACAGAACACCCTTGCTGTGGCACAGAGCTACTCTTACAGCTTCCAGAGCACCACTTGCTCTATTGCCAGCATCAGGAACCTGATGTGCAAAAAAGGATTCCACATGTCACAGACTGGATTGTCCACACTGCCTATGCCAAGGCCTGGGGTTTTTTAGTTACCTTCCAGTGTTTCCACAGCTGGATCAGGACTGAATTGTGTCAGTAGACTCTACTGTGTTTAAATACTTCTAAAATACAAACAATAGCTCATTTTCAAGACTGATGGAATGAAGGTCATAGCTACATTTTTTTGTGTTTCTATTTTTCTTTTTCTTTACTGTTTTACCATCTGTTCTATCAAATTCTCTGCTGGTATATGCAAATAGGAATTTTCATTTCGGGATTTGTTATTCTTTGATATTGAATTGTTTATGGAATTACAACCTACATTTGTGAAAGATGGGGTTAATTTCTCAGCAGAACACGCTTGCTCCACTGACTGTCAGGCTGCTGAGCAGCTGAAATGGCACAACTGCCCTCTCTTCGGCTGTCCACTCTGTCAATTTTGGTCTTACCATTCCAGACCATTAGTCTGTATTTTTCCTCTGAGTTTCTACAGGAGGTTGTCCTCATAGTCCCCTCTGTGCATGTCAAATAAAGCACAGCTTGCACCATTAGTAAGATGTATAGCACAGCTACCAGCCCTGATTTGCATGCTGCCTTTTGGTCAAAAAAGGCAAATTACCGTTCACATTGGTAATATAATGTGGCTCTTTGTCTTTCTGCAGTCCCTTGGTCTTGTGGGGATCAGTTTAACATGGTCCAGTTGCTGTTAAAACTGCAGATCACTCCTTCTTTCACCAGGGAAGCTGTTCAGACACTTCTCAGAGTTTTCAGTAATTCCTTAAGAAGCAACACGTGAAAATAATTGCATATGAACAAAGGAACACCTGTATTTCTTTTTAACATGTATTTTCTTCCTTTATAGATAGAAAAGCTGTTTTCCACAGAATTCTACTGAGCAGTATCACCTCATCTTCAGGGTCTTCAGAAGACTGGAAAGCTTTCCTTGAGCAGAGCGTGTTGTGGAGGTGAATGGAGGAGCACAGACAAATCACATGTTCTTCTGTTGGACAGGTCAGACCTACCAGGTCTGAAGATGCAAGAACCAAGGCATAGCTTAGAGTAGCCCTAAAGCTTCTTTAAGTTGTGCTTGGGAAACAGTTGTCTTTACGTGGCTTTTGGGGTGGAAAGAACATAAGCATGTTTAGTTCATACCATCTCTTCTGTAATTACCTGAGGCATGCTATTGTCACACACAATCAATCATCTGACTTCTTAAGTATCATTCTTACTTTAATAAAATTTCAAAATATAACCCTCATATGTCTTTTTGTGTCTTAGTACACTGCAATATGTAGATTTGTTGGCAGGGTGATACAGTTCATAAAATATAAAACTAACGTGACAAAGAGCAGAGATTCAGCCTGTTCAGATTCTGCTGTTAATCAGATATGCAGTATTATTTGTACTTCTGTTGTCATAGAAGCTGTGTCCTGGACTTACAGTCACCAGTACTGTGTGCTCTCCAGGGCGTATCCACATGCACAGCTGTGCTGAGGAACAAACACTGATGGCAGTAACTGATAGCACTGCCCTAATGGAGTCCTGTGACCTGCTGCTGTGTACTGACAGGCATTTCAGCAACCTACAGGAATTATTCAGTGAGTTATGTAGACAAATAAAGTGTTTTGTTATGGATTTCCATAGTTAAAAGGAATGACACTGTACAAGAAGGCATGTGTGGGCAACTTCACAAAGAAAAACTGTCTCAAGGTGTTTGTTACCTATTGAATGGTTTTTCCACAGGAAGATTAAAATCAAAGGATCAGGAGGGGTGGATTTTGAGAGTTGAAGGAGGAAGTTCATACATAAATAGTTTATCTGACTCCAGTGTTCTCTGTTGCAATAAAACGTGTTTCTTTACTCTGCAGCGAAAAGTAGAAAGTTACAAACAATTTGAGAGTCCTTTCCCCAAAGATTGGGGTTTCATGTGGAATTATATTGCAGTTTATCTAAAGTAAGGTAGCTCATCGGGGAGCACACCAGCTAATGAGGTTTATCCTGAACACAGATTGTTTTTAATTAAGAAAATTAAACCTATGTTTCAAGTTGTATAGCGCCATTGAGCTGGATGTAAGGTAATGACACACCTGGTGTGTCATCATGATAATGGAGGATGCTTTTGTAGTGCTATAGGTGTGTCCTCAGTTGTCATTTTCTGTGGTGATAACATTGTGCTGGTAAGGAACACACATCAGCAACTTCAAAACTAAATTAAATGTATTTCTTTGTGTTTAGTATAGCAGGTCATTTAGTATTTCACTCAATGAGCTGACTTACTTCCACCAGTTTTACAGGGTCATCCTCTTTCTGATGCTTATTGGTGGACTTTGGCTGCCTCCTGAGAACTGGAAAGGAGGAAGCTCAGACAGGTCTCTGACCAGACCTATTTGTTTTGTACAGATGGTGCAAATGAGCAAAAACTGTTGTATTCCTCTTGGGACTGTTTCCTCCAAGTACAGATTCCTTCATAACCCTACTGTTTTACCCAGGTGCCTGGGACACTCTGGGTGCAAGTTTTTCTTGTTACTTGGTCTTGGTGGGGAGTGGGTTGAGCAGGAAATTAAGGAGCTGTATCCTATTCCTTGACCTTGTTTGCATAGGTAAGCATCAAGCTAGGCTGTTAGTTCTCCTCGTGAATCTTTCTGTAAGAAGATGGATGCTATGGGGAATGCTGTTGGACAAGAAATGTGGAGAACTGGGAGGTCAGAGATCTTCCTATATGTTCAAGAACCAACAGAAACAATGTGGGAGGTACAAGCTCCATTCGAGGTTTCTCCAGCTCAGCAGAGAACAGAGTTCTCACTGCTGAGAACTCAGCAGTGAGTGAACACAGAGAACACACAGAGGCTGAGTGCTGTGGAAGGAGAGAACCACTGAAGTGGTTTTATACCTCAGTATTTTCCTCTTAGAGCAAATCCTAGCCTACCCCTTCAAAAGGAATGTGTTCTCTTCCATGCTATGGAATTTGCTATCATTAGCAAATTAAAGGGAACTAGTTGCTTAACAATATTATTGAGTGAGCAACCCTTCAAGAGAACACAGGATGATTAATCCAGAGCTGGATTTTTGAGAACTCTGGGCTTCTGAAATTTTCTTAAGACTTCTTTCTCCCATCTCCTCCTCACATGAAATGCTGTTTCACTTGTTCTCTGAGAATGATGTAGTTGTTTCAGACCTGGGACCCCCTTAGAGTGTGCAGCAGGATAGAGAAAGGTGATAACGGGCATGCTGGAAGGAAAAGATCAACAGATGTGTCTGGAAGAAGGCCAGAATAGAAAGATGAGGGCATTAAACAGTGGTGAGAAATTTTTGGCCAGGGCAAGGAACAGAAGGAGAGGGAGCTGTGTGTGCTTCTGCCATGACTACCTTTCAGCAAAAGGGGATGAGAAACAACCACAGCCCTGAGAATCAGGGTACTTGGAGAGAGCTAAGAGGAGCTTCTTGCCCTGCTTTCTGTGGAGGTCAATTCACTTTCTAGGAATTCTCTTGAGCTCTACTTCATCTGCTCCAGCTATTGCCCTGGGTTTATCCCTGCTTCGGGTGGGGTGGTCTCCTGGCCATGGAGGAGGAGGACTTTTCCATTCCACTGCTGACTTTCCTGCTGTGGCTGTGCTGGAACTGGGACAGTTAATTTCTTTGAGAGTTTCTTACCTCTAGTTGCAACAAAGCTTCCCAGCCAACATTTTCTGTGCTCTGTGACATCCTCACACACAACTGCCAGCCAGAATGGTGGTTTAAAACTGGACAGCAGCAGCTGTTTTCCACAGCCGTTTTTCCAGGATCAAGTATTTCCTAAGCATAGCTGGGAAAAGGTGTGTATCTGTTCCATAGTGGAAGAGCTGGCTGGCCTGACCACCATGGTAGTTGAGATACTTCTTCAGGAATGAGCTTTCATCTTGCTGTTCATTGTCACTATAGGACACATGAAAGCACAACGCGAGCCACCTGCTATTTGCAAGGCAAAGAAGAAGGTTTATTTTCTGACTCTAACTTTTATACTTTTCCAAAGGTGACAGTGGATTGGAGAGTGAATGGGCCACCTCTCCAAAGACATTGGACAAACTACTAGTACATCAAGTTTCTCCACCCCCATGAAGGAATGCAAAACAATATGTTGTTTATAGAAATTGTATGGGAAAGTTTTCTAATAGAATGTAAACTCAGAAGGCTTTAGAAAATCTTAAGAATCAGGGCAACAGTTCATGACAGAACTCTTACTGGTTATCTCACTGGTGATCAAAGAACAAGCAACCATGATCTGCTGGACCTGATAGCTGAAGAAATGTGGGTAGTGTGAAGATCAGTTTCATCCTTGGCTGCAGTAACCACAAGATGGAGAAGTTCAGCATTTGTGTCAGGGGAGGTGCATGAGATCAGTACTGACTAAAACTTGATGAAATTACATCAGTGGTGCAGCAGAGTGCACATTCAGCACGTTTGAAGATGACAGGAAAGTTGGAGAAGTGTGTAATAACACTGCCCAGTGATGCTGTTCAGACACCTCGAGAGGCTGGAGGAGCAGGCTGATAGGAACCTAAGGAAGGTGAGGAAGGGGAAATGCACAGCCCTGCCCCTGGACTCTTGGTGGCCCAGAGGCTGGAAGCAGCTTTGCAGAGAAGGACCTGGGGCTCCTGGTTGACAACAAGTTGAACATGAGTCATGAGCACAGAAGGCCAACAGCACCCAGGGCTGCCTCTGGAAGAGCGCTGGCAGCAGGTCAGTGCCAGCAAGGAGATGATCCTTCCTTTCCACTTGGCACATCTGGAGTGTCCTGGACATGGCTCCCCAGTAGGAGAAACTTGACATTCAAAACCTGAGCAGAGAACTTGCTTTATTTAACTTTGCTTGAGGTGGGCATTGGACCAGACAAGCTCCAAAGGTGCCTTCCAGCCTCAACCATCCTGTGCATCTGTGGGATTCATTTTCCATCTGTAAAGGGGGCTGACATTTATTCTGGGCAGAAACAAATGACTGAAAGCTATTTGAAACTAACTTAACTTAAGATAGTGCTTAATCTTACACTCCTGGTAAAGGATTAGCACATAGAGGCAAGTCACTTCCATAGATTTATATGTAGTTACATAGAGGCAAGTTCAACGTCTGCTGGCAGCACAAATACTGCAGGTACTTTAGCAAGGAAGAAAATGCCACCAAGGGAAGGTGAGGGAAGATGTCCCTGAGCACAGGGACAGACTGTGAGCCTGTGGTGAGCAGAGTCTCACAAGGGCAGCTCTGTATTGAGTGACCTTTACTATGGACTTCATGTATGAATAGTTGTGGTAGCAGTGAAAAATTATGCTTTCATGAGCATTTAGGTGATACAGGAGACTAAGTTTATTCAGTTTTGCAAAAGGTCATTGATTCTCTGAATCCCATTTGGAGTCTGGGTGCATTTTCTAAGCTTGAGTGTTTTTGAAAACCTGTGAAGAATGATCAATCCTCCAAACTTTACCATAAAACTACTTCATGGATTTTATACTGGGCTGTTGGACATTATATTAACTTGTTCTGCAAACACCAGATTTTTCAGCAACAGATGAGAAAAAATTACTAAGTAGGTCTTTATTTGAATTTCCCAAATACAGAAATTCTAATATTTTACATATATATGTGGCTAAATTTTAGGCTATATATGTTTGGACAATGGTATTTGAAAATTTATTTGAAATGCATTTTTATATTGTAACATGTCTTGCATATTCAGATGCTTTCACCATCCAACTCAAACGTGTAGAGCATTTAACCATTTTGGGGTGGTATGTGTAGCTGGGGGAGCACTCTTTGGTACTGATTTCAGGTATCTTCAGATGCTGGCAAAGCTCCCTGCTGAGGAGGCTTGCAGACCCCTGAAACTGCTTTGTCATATTTTTCTGGGTAACAGTAAAGCAGTAACTATTTAAGAAAAAGAGATGATTCTGTGTGAGTCACTGTTGCAACTCCTGACTCAGGTAGAGCTCAGCACAGAACTGAGCTTTGTTCAGCTCGAGCTGTGAGAAAGCTCTTTGGAGGCTGCAGAGCAGCCACTGAACTGCCACTGACAACTGATTGCAAATGTCTGATTGCAAATGCTCGATTTCTGCCTTGCCATAAAAAAACAAAACCAGAGGAGCCCAAATTCAGGCACAATTGAGGGCTCAAACATTTTACTGCCATGAGGAGACCCTTACATCAGTCCTTGTCGGCTGTGTCTTCATCCCTACCTGGCATTGCCTGGATCATTTTCCAGTGCCCTTGTGGAGTAGGACATCCAAGGACCACACTAGATCAAAGAGATGATGGTCCCAGGGCTGTGGGACTGAAGAGGAATGTGTGCCTGTAGAGTTGAAGGTACCCCTACTCAACACTGCTCCCAGCTTCTGCACCAAACAGGGCTCCTCATCTCTTCTTCTTCCTGTCAGGAACAGTCCTGACTCTTTCCTTCTTCCTTCTGTCTTCTGCCACTGGGATCCAACCCAATCTTTTCCCTGTGTGGGAGTGGGGCAGGATGGAGCTACCTGTGCTCAGCTCCTGCACACATGGCAGTGCCAGGGTTCCAGCAGACTAAAAGCACATTCAGGAGCTGCCCACATGGGACAGTGGGTGTTACCCTGGTCTTCTCTGTCCTTCCTTCTGCCTTGCCAGGTGCCTGAAGACCTCCCCTACCATTTGTTGGTCCAGGGCTGATCAGAGCATGGCACTAGAGGACCCAGAAGGGGCAAAAAGCACTCGCCCCACCACTGATTAGCAGACTGTCACGCTCTCACCTCTCCTGGCAGCACTTGGATAAGGAGCCAGTGGTATCAGAGTGACCATTTTGTTGGCCATTTTCTGTAAATTCTCTACAAGGGAGTCTACAGTCAGTATACTTTCACTCCAGGCACTGCCTGTTTTACCTGCTCTGGGGCTGGCAGCCTCTGGCCCATTCTTTGACAATGGCTAAAGGCTGTGCAGGCTTTTGGGACTAAAACCATCTCCAGGAGCTGACCCTGGCACTGTGACCTGCTGTGCAGTAGGAGAGCAAAGTATTAGCTTCTGGTTTATGGGCAAGAGGGGCTTGGGATGGGCTGAGGCTGTGGCTGTGTGCTCACCTGGCTGTGCCTTCCTCCCACAGGGAATGATCTCTTCCTGGTTGCCGTCCATGAGCTGGGGCATGCGCTGGGTCTGGAGCACTCCAATGATCCCAGTGCTATCATGGCTCCTTTCTACCAGTACATGGAAACACACAACTTCAAACTGCCTCAGGATGACCTCCAAGGAATTCAGAAAATCTATGGTGAGCAACCCTTCTTTCCTCCTTCCTGCTTCTTTACTTACACCAAGTTTGAGCCTAGTGAGTATTTTACAATTAGCCCCCGCATGCCTGCAGATGGTGGGCTGCATTTCCAGCCACAGCTGAGTGGGGAACTCTGTAAAGCCCTTGATCCAGGACTAAGATGACTGCACAAGTCAGGATAATCAAACTTCTGTGATCCCACTGCTGCTCCATCCCTCACTGTCTCCCCAAATCAAGGAGTACTGCAAAGGGGAAAATAGGCTTTGCTGTACCCAAGGTTTGTCCATTAGGAACAACCAGTGCAAATAAAGGAAAAGAATGCAAAGAGCCTGGAACATCAAGGAAAGGTAAAAAGTATTTTTACTCTTTTTTTTTTTCCTCATTATATATAAGGTAAGGAAAAGAAAGTTTGGATCTGCTTAGGGAGCACTTTGCTTCTTCAGTCTCTAGCTGAACATGTTGTACAGCATGTGCTACAAAGATAATGGGCTCAAGGAAAATAGAAAAAGGGCGGACAGATTATGAGAGAAAACCTAGGGGCTGCAATGATGTGGTGCCATGTGATGCAATCATGGATACCAGGGTGTGAGGACAGGAATTCTCAGAATTATTGGCAGAAGGAGACTCTGAGAGGAAAGAGAAATCCAGGTTTTAGGAACACAAAGGGAGACTGAGGCTAATGGCCACAGTCTGTGGCAACCTGTGATAAATAGGTTTCATCAAACATCCCTGGTTTCATTCTTTGTGGAAAGTACAAGTTTGACAAGAGAGGTTACTTAATTAATGCAACACAGAGCAGTTGTGCTATGGAACTGTGCAGCAGAGCAGAAAAGGTATGAATTCAAGGTGAAGAAAATACTTGTAAGATGGTTGTCAGTGGGAAAGCTGGTGTTTCTCAGGGCTTGCTGCAGAGGTTGGTGGCAGGCCTGACACTCAGTGTTTCCATCAATGGTCTGCCAGTGAATCTGAAGTTGCTGCTAATAAAATGTGTGCAAGACCTGTAAGACTAAAGCAGTGTAGCAAGACATCTAAATTGCATCTCATCTGTTTGAGTCAGATTTGGTGTTTGTTTTCTGTGGCTGGATTGAGATTCATTGTTTAAGTGCAGATGCCTGGAAAAGTCTTTTCCTGGGCTAATTTCTCTGACTTGTGAGGGCAGTGGGAAAAAAACAGGCATTTGTAGAGAGCAGTCCATCCTCAGTGTGAGGCAGATATCCAAGTAAGGTCCAATATGTAAAATAAGATGGCTTAAAGTACACCCAGGGAACTATCTTATCTCATTAGTGCATCTTCTTATTGATCATTACCAGGTGAAGTTGAATGTTAATTGTCCTATGGTATTGTTTAATTATGAATACTTTAACACAGTTCATGGTCTGATGCTCAGGATAGCAGAAACTCTGGAGGGTTTTGAAATAAAGTGCTGGGGTAGTCAGTGTTAAACTTTCATTAAGTAATAGATCTGAGTGTTAAATTTGAAAGCTGCCAAAATGCCATTATGCTGTTTCTATTTTGAAATGTTGATTTAGTTCCTGTGAACTTTTATTAATCAGAAAGAAAAAAAAAACAATATATTGCAGACAGTGGAAGTACAATCAAGAAAAAATGATGGGTTGGAAAGGGAGCACATAAGGAACTGACAGCCTTCCTGCTTCACTTTTGGGATTCAAGCCAAGATCAGCAGGGGCTGAGCTGAGATCAGCGCTCTCCAGAATGGGGCTCTAAGGCCTTTGAGCTGGAATGGCTGGGGATGATGTTAGGGGTTGTAGAGATAACTCATCCTCTGGGGAGAGGAAGGAGCAGCTTCTGTAGCAGGAGCTTTCTTCCCCAGGTAGAGATTTTGGCCCTTGGTACAGAATTACAGTCCAAAAATCAAAGTTGAATTTAAAAACAGGTTTTATGCTTATGATTCACAAAGAAATTGTGGAAAATGCAGGTGATGTTTCTCCCTGGAACTAATGGTGAAAAAATAGAACCCTTCATCTGATCTCAAAACTGAGAAGGGCCTGCTGAAGTATCCTTCTCGTAGCTTTAGCAGGAACATTCAGCTAATGTATTTTATTTGTGCCACACTGCTTTGTTGTGCCTTGGGAATACCAAATGCCCATCTACCAGAGAACCTCTCCAAAAACCAAAATCTCCTGCTTTCTTGCTGCTTTGACATTCTCTTCAGTGCAGCAGCATGTGCTCAATATGTATTATTTAGTAACCAACTCTGCAAAGTCAGACACAGAGCCACTGTCTTGCCTGTAGCATCCTTTTTAAAAAATAGTTATAATCAAAACTTCCAATTTTCAATTCCACTGAAGTTGCTAGAACAAAGAACAGAGGCTTTACTAAAGCTGAAATCCTATTTTGTCGCCTTTTGAGAATGAAGCATTTCAAATGTGGTTTATATTGTATCTGTGTTTATCCATTAGAAAAGAAACATGTCCACATCTCTCATATAATGATTTGTTGAATTTTTAATGTATTTTTTTTTTGATTTCTTTCAAAACTCACCCACAGAGACAGTAGGTGATGTGAGCTCTTGTTTGTGCTTCATGCTGATAAGTATAAGATCAATGTTTAAATTGATTCAATTTTAAGCTACTGAGAGCAAGGCCAGCAACTCCCTGCATGACAGAGCTGTAACACAAGTCAATAATATTCCCATCTCCTGAGAGCTGCTTCCTGTAACATATTCCTTGACAAAACAAGGAAATAGCAGGGCTGTACTTTATGTGTGTTTTTCAGAAGGGTATCTCCCTCTGTATTTATGTGCCTGTGTCACAAGTGACATGCTCAGGAAGGAATTAAACTGGAAGTGATACCAGTTTGCAGGTCCCCTGGATATCCTGTCGAGTTGCCACTGAACTTTGCTAGTGTTGAAGCCAGGGCTGCAGGGAGCTGCACTGCAGGTGGAGAGAGGAGAGATGCTCAGCTGTGGCTGTGTCACAGAGCCTGAGCTGGTCACTCTGCAGCACTGGGCATCCTGTCCTGACGGGAGGGGCTCGGGATTCTCCCAGGTAACAAGTGACAGGAAAAAGGAAACAGCCTCAGGTTGTGTCAGGGGAGTTTTAGGCTGGGTATTAGGGGAAATTACTTTGCTAGGAGGGTGGCCAGGCATTGGAACAGCTGCCCAGGGCAGTGGTGGAGTCACATCCCTGGTGGTATTCAAAAAATGCATGTATGTGGCACTTGGTGACATGATTTGGTGGTGGGCTTGGCAATGCTGGGTTAAGGGTTGGACTTGACCACCTCAGAGGGCTTTTCCAACCTGAATGATTCTGTGATTCCATGTTTCTTCACATCCTGCTCTCCATACTGGTTTGAGGTGGGTGATGAAGCAGCCTCCCATGGGGAGTGGTTCTTGTGACACTGTCTGTGGAGCAGTTCCCTGACATGAAGTACAGGAAAAGCTCATGTGCACTGGGCTGGTTAACCAGGCCATTACCTTCAAGGACCTTTTAAAGCCTGAGGTCACAAAGGGGAGGAAGGTCTCCTAATCTCTCAAAGGTAAACAAGGTCATTAACCCTGGAGACAACCTCAAAGACCTGGGTCATCCCAAATCTCACTGAGGAAGTCTCAGCCTGACACATCTTCTGTGCAGTTGAAGAGAAGAGATCCCAGTCAGTGCACATGCTGCACCCCTGAGGGCTCATGTCCAGAGTGGGCGTGAAACCACTTCAGCCCCTGGCTGAGGAGCTGGACAACACCAGCTCTGACATCCAGGAACAGGGGATCAGCAGAGCACAGTGTCACTGAGCAAGCAGGACCTTCTGCTGGCCTCACCCCCTCAGTGCAGCGTGCATGGCTTCCATCACCTCCCCCCCTTTTCCAGTGGCAGCCCATAGAGATTCTTGTAACCTACAGACCCTTGTGACCATGCCAGGTCACTTGTAAGCTACACCTAGGTGTGAGATGGCATGTGAGGGGACAGCAGAAAAACCTGGTGGAGAATTTCCATGTGGTGACACTGCACTGTGAGTGGGACCATCAGAGCAAGCTTTGTTGTCATGTGGGACCTGGAAATGTTCTCTGAAAATGTCCTCTTGGACAGGAAGAGGAAACAGTAACATCCAAGACCTCATCTGTGGAAGCTGCAAGATTTGGGACTTGTGGATCTGTGCCCCATGGTACTATACTCATTAGAGGAGAGAGGAAGGAAAATGCTTGGCAATCAGGAGTCTGGAGGGATGTGCCCTGGTGCCACATCTCTGGCACATTGCAGAGATACCAGACACCCTCTCTATATTGCATCACTTCATTTGCACTTTTCTCCTGTCCACAGACTCTGTTGGACCCAGCAGGAAACACCAGACTTCACCTCTGGTGCATCCACAGATCCTCACTTGCCAAAAGCCAGATCTTCATTCCCACTCCTCTGAAACACTGGGAGCAACTGCCTGGTTCCCAGTACTGTCCTTGGGCTCCACATGACACCTGGAGGACTCTGCCAAAAGGGAGGCTGAGAGGGAGCCTATCTCTCTTGGGAGGTTTCTCAGCTGATGGAAAAACACTGGCGTGTGTTATGGCTGGGTGGAAAATACTTTTCTCATCCTACAGATTCTTCCAAGTATAGAAAAATGTTCTGTTTTTCTGTAGAGCAGATGTCAGGCTTCTGAAAGTTTTACCAGAAGGAAACTGGAGCATCTTGCAGAGCCCTAACATCTCACCATTTGCCTGCCTAAGGCTGGGAATTTTTGACCCAGTTTTCTGGCACCCAAAGCAGAGAACCTCATTCCAGATCCCAGGAAAGCATTCCTTTGGTTTAGAACAAGGATATCTGCTGTGGACACTTGTCTCTCAGGTGAATGCCCTGTCACCTGGGTGGCAGCTGGCATTCAGAGGAGAATGTCTGTGTGAGAAGGGCTCAAGAAACCCTTCCTGCCACCCAGTGATGATCATGGGGGCTTTGACTGTCCACCCATTGTTCTATGGTGCTGGGGCTTGTTCTGCACTGTGACAAGGACCCAGGCTAAGTGTGACATCTTAACTCACTTCATTCCTGAAGGCT